AGTGCATGTATAGTAGACATAAATTTGTAAGTGACATGAACACTATTGAGCAAGGGGGTTTTTATACAAAGGGGCTGGTGGGTGGCTGGAGAACTCAGGAGGGCAGCTCTGGAAGGCTGACACTGAGTCAAGAATTGACCGGTGTGACACTAGCCACCCAGGATATGGAGAAAGTGCTTTGAGGAGAGGACAGCAGGTAGAGAGAATGACTGTGCCATATTCCACAAATCCAAGTCCAGCATGGTGGACAGTAGCGTGTGCCAGGCAATGACAACATCGTCCATCTGTCTGTCACCTGTGTGCTCTTTAGGAGCACTCAGGTCTTCAAATGCACCTCCAACAGGCCTAGGAGGCTCCAGAAATTGGTCCCCCAAGGGACCTAAAAGGAAGAGCTCTTACCTTCCAGCAAAGTGCACCGTCGTCCTTCTTTCTTGAGGGCTCCAGCTCACTGCAGCTGTGGCTGAAGCCCAGCGAGACTCCTTGGTCCTTGGTGAAGCTGTCACACTCCTGCTGAGTAACTGAGGAGGTGCTGCTTGACCATGGTCGTATCTGGCTTTGCCATAAGCCTCCCAGAGACTCCCGTGGCTTCTTCTGCAGCCTTTATCTCCTGTCCATGGGCACACGACTGCCTCAGCCTGGTCACTGGGGCTGCCACAGTGGCTGCTTGTGCCAATGGCAGGGCGATTATGGAAAAACTCTTCTCTCCTACCGTTCTGTATGACACTCTTTTTTCTCTAGGACTTGGTTAGACAACCCAGGCTGTACTCTCAACCCTTGGAACAAGACTGGGGCACCTCGACTTCCTCTTCCTTTGGCGTGAGTTATTTGTTTCTTTTACAAGAGACCCTGCAGTTGCTCATGTGGTGTTACCTACCCCTATCAACCTTCCACAGATGTAGATAGGCCGAAATTGGAGAAGGAACCCAGCGTGGGTTCAGCTGGTTCTTTTAAAGAGCATTTACATGTTCACCTGCCATGGACACCCCTCTCCTCAGCACTACTCAGGAACGTGCTTTCTGAGGGTGAGCTATGTGGACTAGACACAAGCTCCGTAATGTTTCTCAGAAAGGACTAGAAAGCAGCAGCGTCCCTTTCCTGCACGCGAGGGCTTCCTCTTCTTGTCTGGTTGCAACAGGATTCACGATCATTGGGGAGCATTGTGTCCATCACTCTGTCTAGCGGAGTGGGTGTAAGAATACAGGAATAGCAGAAAGTACAATGTTACTGGCAAAATAAAGGGTCTCTTTTGCCTCTTCACCCAAATTTCTATCCAACCCGGTCACAAATGTCTGAGGAGGAAAGGACACAGAATGCACAGGAGAGTAGGGGACAGCACTGATGATGAGTGACTCCTTCCTGGACTCCCATGTTCTCTGTGTCCCAGTGAAGAACACGAATTAGAAACCAAAGAGTTAGCTTGCTTTAAAAAGAGAGTAAGGCTTGTAGGCAAGGCACATGTGGAACTATAGTTGTGGACATATGTTTTTCAGGCTAAAATGTATTCTTTTTTATATGAAATTACTATTAAGGAGGAAGAAGAGGATCTTCTTTTTTGAGAAACTGACCTTGAATTAGGGGGAAGTTTGTCATGCCTTACATTTTCACAGGAACTATGGAGAGAGTCTGACATTTGGCAGCCTGCTCAAGAGATATTATGGGACACATACCAAGTAGAACATTCTGTGTTAAGGCTTCAGAGTGGTTGAAGAAAAGGCAAAGTGCTGTGATGTGATCATTCTCTCAGCCCGCATTTCCTGTGCACCTCTGGGTCAGTTAGGTCTCATAGCTGGGGCGCCAGTCAACATCTGTGCTGGAACACTGTCCCCAGGGTTTCTTGTGAGAAATAAATGGGATAAGATTGCTCGACAATACTTGTTAACTGCTAGGGGATTGGTAAGTAATTATTTTCCTGCCTGAAAATAATTCACCTTTTCAAGATAAAATACTTAAATCTTGGTGTGGAGTTTATGACCTTTTAAGTAAACACTACCATGTACCCATCTCATCTTATTTCTTGTGAATTTTGTGCCCAAACCCCCCAATACAGTGGTGTATTAGTTTGCTTGGGCTGCCATAACAAAGTACCCAGCTTACACAACAGGAATTTATTGTGCCACAGTTCTGGAGGTTAGAAGTCCGAAATCAAGATGTTGGCAGGGTTGGGTTCTCCTGAGGGCTGTGAGGGAAGGATCTGTTCCAGGCCTCTCTCCTTGGCTTGCAGGAGGCCATTTTTCATATTCTCATGGCATTCTCCCTGGACGTGTCTTTCTGTGTCTAGATTACGCCAGTCACATTGAATTGGGGCCCACCATAATGGCATTATTTTAATTTAATCACATTTGCGACAATGCTGTTTCCAAGTAAGGTCACATTCTGAACTACTAGGGGTTAGGGCTTCAACATATAAATTTGGGCGGACACAACTTAGTCCATAGCAAGACGTCTTGTTTTACTTGCAGTGTCAGAACCCGCCCTGTTCTCCTTCACTCTCTTGCTCTCTCTGCTCCCCTAAAATCTCTTCCTATTGAAATCTCTCTCATTCTTCAAGTCTAACATATAAATTTGGGCGGACACAACTTAGTCCATAGCAAGACGTCTTGTTTTACTTGCAGTGTCGGAACCCGCCCTGTTCTCCTTCACTCTCTTGCTCTCTCTGCTCCCCTAAAATCTCTTCCTATTGAAATCTCTCTCATTCTTCAAGTCTAATTCACCTCAGATAGGACCCCAGAGGATGACTCTTCCTTGGTGGACACTTCCCAGTCCAGAGGCAAACTCTTCACCTTGTTGGCTTTGAAGACTGGTCCCAACAGCAAATGGAGAGTGGTTTCTTCTAAAGATAATGCGTGCATGAGGTCGATGGACAAAATCAGGACATCCGTTTATTAATTCACAGTGAGAAATGAACTGTCATAAACACCGAAGGGCAGTGTCTCCTGGTCTCTCGTATGTGGAAAGCCAGATGTCATCAGAAGCTTTCTGTGTGACCCTGGAATCAGATCAAGGGAAAATCAATAGGTGACGTGAATATGTCACGGCATCGAGCCTAAGACCTTCTGATGCATTCACCTGCACTTGTCAGTTGCCAAAGGAATAACACTGTTGAGCCTATTGACTAGGCAAATGGGAGCTAGCAATGTTTGAATCTTGGGCTGGTCTTTCTCTTTGTGTAACATGATTATGCTGATTTTTATAATCTTCTGTGATCATACCTTCCTTTTAATAACCAAATAAAATACTCAATGGCTCCCATATGGCATGCTTATAAATGAGTCAGCCGCCCCTCACATATTTCTGAGAATTTCCTGGCCTGCTTGTCATTTATTCTCTCTCTCTGAATGGCTGCTCCCAGGCCACACAGTCACTGCTCTCTCTGTGTTGTTTAAGTTCTCATTAGTCCACCAGTCCTGTCACTTGTATACAGCCTTCTCTTTGTTTCCCAGAACAGGAAGGTCACTTGATGTAGTGGTTAACTAATTTGCTGGAAATAATGTGTCATGAGGGAATTTTAAAACAGGAAAGGAAAAAATAATCAACTAGATATCACTGCTCCTGAAAATTATTGGCCGTGGCCCATCACAAACTGTCCCTGAGTGTCAATTTCTCCACCACCGTGTCATTGAAACCCCTAATCCACTCAGATTTGAGATCTCTTTTCTATCTTTTTTCTTGCTCTCTTCAGTCCCAAAATGTTCGAACACTTTCTCCAGCCCACATGAAAAAAAAAAAAGCAAAATTCCTTATGTAATATTTAATTCCTTATCTTATCATTTCCAGAAAATGTTATTGAATGCCTTCTATGTGCCAAACACTGTGACGGGACTTGGGATACAATTTTGTGTGTGTGTTTGGGGGGCGGGGGGGTGCAGGGTTGCCAAATATGGCCCATATCCTCAGGAAGTATTAATCAAAATAAGCACACAAATGAATGTATAATTAAAAAGTGAGGCTAGTGTTCTGAGGGAAAAGAAAAAGAAACATGATATTTTGATGGTATTTTGGAAGCGTTTAACAATGGTATTTGGCCATCAGAGAGGGCTCCTGTCAGGGAATCATAAGAATGCCAAGCCACGGACAAGCAGGAGAGGAAGGCAGCCAGCGGGCATGAGGGGTGCGAGGCCTGGACAGCAGAGGAAAGGAGTCCCATGTGACTGCAGAGCAGAGTGGGGGAGAGCGTGCGACCACGCCGCGGGGCTGGAGAGGGGGGCGAGCTGGCCAGATGTGCGGGAATATGGAGGGTTGTAAATGCTCAGATGAAAGTTCTGAAACACAGAGTCGCTCTGGCTGTAGCACGGAGAATGAATTGGAGGTGAACCGGAGTCTGCGCAGGAGAGTCCAGTCAAGAGATGACAGATGTTAGGGCCAGGGACGACTGCCAACCAAAGTGGACAGACAAGGGAGGGTTTGAGAACTATTAAGGGGAGAATATCAGAATCAGTGATGGATCGGATATTAGCAGAAAAGAGAGTGAGAGAAAAGCCATTAACATGACCCTTAGACTTGAAATTGCACATCTGAAAAGATGGAGTATCATAAATTGCAGTAGAAGTCACTAGAAGAAGAGCAGGAATTGGAGGCTAAAGTCATGAGTCCAGTCTTGGTCATGCTGAGTTTGAAGTGCCTTTGAGACATCAGGTTGGGTTTTCGGCTGCATGTGCCAGCGGGAGCTTGGAAGAGAGAGATCTGGGCTATAATTATTTAAGCAGTATTTGGCAGAAGATGTAGTTAAGGGTGAAAGAGATTGTCTAGAAAGAGTGAAAGAGCAGAGAGTCTAAATATGAGCTGTACGTCCCAGCACTTCATGAACAACAGGAAATTTTCTATAAAATATGAGAAAAGGTCAGTGTTATGTCCAGACACAGGCAGGGTGACAGCTGTAGAAGTTGAAGAATATTTCAAATGATGGCTTCCACTTCTTCTGTTCAGTAGAAGGTCAAGTCTTTGCTTGGGGAAGGGACAGTAGAGTGGAGTTACAGATTGGAAAAAAGTGGAGAAATTTTGACATGGTCATTGGAGTTGGTCGAGAGATGCCGTGTGACGGGCCCTTCGAGCTGGTGGTCCTGAACCTGTGTGACACCACAGTTGGCCTTGTGGTGTTGCAGGTGTGGCAAAGGTGCAGTGTAGGTGTGAACAGAGCAGATAGAAGGGTTAATCCAGGCATTTCTCCTGGTGATAAAAGAGAGGAAAAAGCCCTAAAGGGTATGGACAGAACTGTTTCTAAAGTGGAAGACTGTGGAATCAGAGTTGAATAAAGAAGGAAACAAAGAAAGCGGAAGGGAAGGTAAATGATGGGGACCCTGTCAAGGCATTCTCGGAGGCCACCACAGGTGAAGCACTGCACAGTGGAACAGGAATGAGGGCATGGAAGGCCGGGAAACATGCGGAGAATGCGGGACACTCGGGGGTGGATCAGTTTCAAGTGGTGACAAGTCCAGAGAGTGACTGTGAAAGAGTGTGGCTGAGGTGGAGGGGTTTCCTATAGGAAGAGGCCAGGGAACTGAGAGGATGAGGTCTTGAGTGGGTCACCAGAATGGGGGCTGAAGAGCAATTAAACTTGCAGGATCTCAACCTCTTTCTGCAGTCTAAATCCCAGACCTTAAACTCACAAATCAAAAAAGCCCACAGACATGATTTCCCAATCAAAAGACAAGCTTTTTCCAAAGATGAACTTTGTTTTCACCTGAGTGGTTTTTTCCCTGACATCAAATATATGGTTCTTTTCCAAAAACAATTCTCCAATTCTCAGACACCACTGAGTATTTGTGTCTCCCCACCCAAATTTATGTGTTGAGACCTTAACCCCCAGTGTAGCTGTACTCGTACTTCAAAAAGTCTATGGAAAGATTCTGTTTTCTGAGAACTTTTTGATGTACCCTCATATTGGAATAAGGAAGTAATTAAGGTTAAATGAGGTGGGGACTGGAATAAGGAAGTAATTAAGGTTAAATGAGGTGGGGACTTCGTCCAATAGGATTAGTGTCCTTATTAAAAGGAGCAGCAGAATGCTCTCTCTCTCTCTCTCTCACCCGCCCCCCGGCCCCCTGCATGCACACACCAAGGAAAGGCCATGTGAGGACGCAGAGAGAAGGCCAGGAAGAGAGCCCTCACCAGAAACCAACTGTGCTGGCACCTTAATCTTGGACTTCAAGCCCCCAGGACTGTGAGGAAATACATTTCTTTTGTTGAAGCCACCCAGTGTATGGTATTCGTTATGGTTACCCAAGCAGACTGACACATTAACTGTCCAGAGTTAGTGCAGACCCCACAAGTTAATGGGCTCAGTTCAAGACTGTCCTCACTTTACATACCAATCACAAGTCCCAGCTCCTCGGGGTACTTACACTTCTGTCTGATATGGCTAAAGATTCAGAGGCTCCTACAATCCCCTATTCAGTTTCATAGTTCACTATAACAACTCACAGAACTCAGGGAAACACTTAAATTTACTGGTTTATTATAAAGGATACAATTCAGGAATAGCCAAATGGAAGAGATGCATGGAGGGGAGGGTTGGGGAGGGTGGTCGGAGAAGGGCTTTTATGCCCTCTCCAGGCGCGCCATCCTTCCAGCACTTCGATGTGTTCACCACGCCAAAAGCTCTCTGAACCCTGTCTTTGAGGGGTTTTTATGGAGGTTTCATTAAATAAACATGACTAAGTAAAGCTATTGGCGATTAACTTAATCTCCAGCCTTTCTCCCTTCCCTAGGGGTTGGGGTTGGGTTTGAAAGTTCCAATTCCCCGATCATGGCTTGGTCCTTCTGGTGATCAGCCCCCATCCTGAAGCTACCTAGGGGTCTACCAAGAGCCACTTTATTAGCATAAACTCAGGTATGGTTGAAAGGGGCTTGCTCCTGTTACCCTTTTCACACAGGAAATTCCCAGGGTTTTAGGAGCTCTGTGCTAGGACCTGGGGGCAAAGACAGAAGATGTATTTCCTGATATACTGCACACCCCTCGGATTGTGAGGATGGATGCAGACAGCTTTGGAAGTAGCAGCCATGGTTTCTTGCTGCCATCTTCATTGGTGGCCAAGCCCTCTCCTTGCTGACCAGCCAGTGTTCACACATTCAGTTGGTTGCAATCAAATCTTCATAGGACAGCAGCCCTCATCTCTCACCAAGATGACCTTATGGATCTCTAACCCAATTCATTATATTTTGATTTTGTACTTTAACCTCAGAAAGAGATTAAGAGTTCTTTTATTGGCAGGTTCTTCAGGGATACCTCATGGTAGACTTCATGTACTTCATAAATACGATGTTGAGTGAGTAAGTCCAACGAGAGCCTGGCAATAAATAAAAGATCAAATGGCTAAATCTTTTCTGTTATTTTTAAAAATGTTCTCCATTTGGATATTCTAAATTAAATATGTAGAGAGAAAGTTTATTAATTTTTGTGTTGCTTAAATAATGAAATGTGGTATGTACATGTGCATACACAATTATTCAACCATTATTTCCCATATCTATTGCTTAGTTTTCTGTGCTCGAGGATAAACTGCCATTAGGTCTGTAGAGCTAGAGCTAGGTCTCACAGACCCTTCGAGCCTGTTGTCCAGACTGGGTCACAAACCCTTCACATGCAGGTCTATAAGCTAGGTAACAGGAAAAGGTTCTTAGAGCCATGGGTGAAGAAATAATAAGCTTTATTTTAGATGTGAGCTCTGCCAACCAGCAGTTCAGAGCCACTGCCTCACACACACTCTGAACAATACACCGGAAAAGAAACAAGCTAAAAATACATGGACGCACATGCACATTAACTCCAGCCCACATGACTTGTTTACAAAGAATGTGCTGCACCACCCCCGACTGGACCTGAGGTGAGGGGGCCTGACTAAACTACTCTATTCTCCTCACAAGGTCTGATTGTCAGCTGACATCACGTCTGGACAACCACAGACGAGTTCCTTATAAAACAGGTGACTCAAAGACCTACACTTAATCTTGAAATTCTTTAACTGGACTGACAAATCAACACAGTAAAAATGTTTCAAATTGGGCCGAGCCCGTGGCGCACTCGGGAGTGCAGCAGTGCTCCCGCCACGGGTTCGGATCCTATATAGGGATGACCGGTGCACTCACAGCGCTCACTGGCTGAGTGCAGTGCAGCCGGTCTCAAAAAGGACAAAAAAAAAAAAAAAAGTTTCAAATTGACAAAGTGTCTTTGAACTTCCTGCCTGATGCCTTTAGAACATAGCTTCCCTTTGCATTAGGCCTCAGGCTTATAGAATTTATCTGGTTTTATGGATAATGACATACATTCAAAAACATCTTAAAGTGATTTTCTCAAGATATTTTAAAGTTTAAAAGGAAATAGTTTTTTCTTTTTCTTTTTCCCTTTTTTGAAGGAGAGTGATAAAGGTAAGGAATACAAGGATTTTATGCATCACGTATTTCAGGGTGAAACCTATTAGAAATGCTGTAGCAGCAGCACTGCTTCATTAGATACTATAAATAGCCTTTAAGAGAATTTGGGGGATCACAGTTTTATTATTAAACTGAATCACATAATTGTATATGAGAAAATGAGGCCCACTCAGACCAGCTTGGGAGGAGTTCAGACGAGGCTCCTGCAAAGCCACACCTTCACCCTCTTTTCAGGACAGTAAATGGCCTCTGAAGCAACAAATCAACGCAAGCAGGCCACACACCATCAGTCCATGTCTCCACTTTACATTTTACTAGCAAACCGTTCAGCATACTGTTTTAATAGATGATGTGTGATTTTCAAATCAAATTGAGCCATTCCCCAGAGCTTAGAGTTTCTACAACTGAGATTTTGATTCCAAGTATTTACTGCCAGGAGTCACTGTGACTTAACAGCAAGTAGCGTGCAGAGTCACACGGACAGAGAGCACAGGGGACCTGCTTTCTAAATGGGCTTTGAGTGAGGCAGAGCAGACCCGACAGTCCTGACCGGTAGCCATGTGACACCGGGCAGATCACTTAACCCTGTGAGACTTAACTAACTGATCTGTTACATAAGAAATGACATAGGGTATGTAAATGTACTGTGTTAGAAATTAAATTTCTTAAATTTTAAGCTGTTACTTAAAAATTAGAAACTCTTAGTTGTTTCTCTATTATTTGGTGTCACTTATTAGATTTGCAAATTTAGACAAATTATTTAATCTTTCTGAATCTCTGTATGCTCAGTGGAAAAGTAGAGAAAATAATATCAGACTGACAGGATTGTTGTGAGGCTTAAATGGTAAAAATATGTATTCAATGCATATTTGTTCATTTTTCTCTCCCTCTTTTTTCCTGACAATAATTTGTTTGAATCAGTGACCAGTTTAGACTGAACTTATGTGAAATAACTTGATGACAAAGGTGTTTATGTTCTCAGTGCAGGTGCTATGTCATCAACAGGGACATCCAACAGTCGGAACCATTCATCAATTGAGTTGTGGTTTTCTTGATTTTGGAAGCACCTTTTCCAAGAGGTTTCTGATGAGAGGTTCCTGCACTAATCATAAGAACTCTAACTCTGGGCAGAGGTGGTTCAGTATGTCCTTGGAAGGGCTTACAGACTCAGTAGTATGTAAAATGGTCTTAACACAAGTTCTCAAGCTTGTCTCACAATGAGCGGAGGTTGGAACATATGACTCTGTTCCAGTCAGGAGTCAGCTGTTTTTCCTAGAATGAAAGTTTTGTCATGCTTCTCTGAGAATTTCATCCTTGCTAACCATGACGTCACCTCTGGCAGGTGGACATGTTCAGAGTGGAAGCAGTTGCCTTTGTTTTTTTGCAACCAGTAGATGTGAAAAGAGGGCAAGACCTTGGCTGGTGCTTGGGAGAGATTATTGTGCGGGCACCGAAGAATAAAGAACAACTGCTAGTTCTGGCTCAGATGTGCTCAGAAATGGAGCAGAATATTCACCGATTACACTAAAATCACAGGTGATGCTTCTTCTTTTTGAAAAATTGTTCATATAATAATTATTGATTTGTTTATAATTTTCTAAAATAGTGTTGAAGTGAAGTATGATATTGCCAAGTGTTTTTGTTGTTAGAGAGTATTGTAATTGTTTCCATTTTATAGCAAATAAAAGAGCTTGGACTAGTGTCAGCATAACGGGCAACGCTGAAGTCAGCAGTACTTGATTTTCCTTCCAATTTTAGATCTTATTTATTGGAAGAATTTGGAAAAAGATAATAATGCATTCACGCAACAAACTTAGATTCTCTGAACT